GGACCGACCTTTGGAGCAAACACTAAAATAACAAATGCAGAACCAGGAGGGTTTGGGCACTGGGAGTTATAATTTAATACTAAACTATTTATTAATGTATCCAAAACAAAGTATAATGATTTGGCCAACTTGGCCTGCGTTAAATCTTTGTACTCATTTTTGTGAAGGGCAAAAATGTGTTTCTCCAAGTTTGATGAATGCTTGCCAGATATATACTTGGTACATCCCACTACATTACATTTACTACTGTTTTTATATATATCATACGTAAAATACATTTCAAGAACCGGGTTCTTCATTTTTAATTTCCGTGTATAATATAATATGTAGTTATTCTTTAAATAATTTAAATCTTAACCACTTTAAACCCTTTAAACAACAACTTCAAAATAATATCATTGACCAATGCATAAAATATAAATTGTGACAGACGAGTAGACGACAGTATTAAAATATCGTAGATAAATACTAAATACTAAATGGACTAAGCCCCTATTCCACCAACTATTTCGTAATAGCCAATAGGAATCAGCGCGCGAGGACGGCGGTCGACGACGATGTTTATGATGGTATTTACTATTTATAATATATAGTTATACAATTATACCTATATATATGTGATATTCATAACAGATAAGCAATACTCGACGGCAATTAATTGGGGAAAAAAATTTAAAAATAGCTGGGAAATTAAATTCAACATTGTAATCATTACATAATTCAAGTATTAAATATTTAAATTCCACGAAAAAACCGTTAATTTTTTGGTCGGGAATAGATTTTGGTTATAAAACCGGGATTGAAAATACGAGGTAACCGCTTTGATGTTAATATTTAGATATTTAAATTGATTACCGATAACCAATAACCGCTTCCAGCATTCCAAAACTAAAAGCGGTTATCGGTTTTCGGTTCTCAAATTTACGGTTTTTACCGGTTTTCGTTACAAACCGGTTACCGGTTTTAAGCCCTGCTTTTCTCAATCCACCTATATATTTTTTACATTTTAAAGTGTTCATATCAGTACCTACAAATATGGCTATATCATTATAAGTTATCACATAGGTAACACTAAATAACTATCATAATACAGTCATGGAGGACGTAGGCGGTAGGTACACTCACGTCATATTAATATAATAAACCTAAATGGTTGTATTCACGTCATAATTCAAGATTCAACTTGTTAACTCTTCACAAGTTCGTATTTTTCACTATTAAAATAAACTATACGTTAATGAATATTATTACTTTGATAATCTCTACCACCTGTAAAATTGATTTTTTCGAAGTAAACAAGATAGTGGAATGGTAACGTTTTAGTTTAAGATTACAAAGCAATTATTGTATCGATTTTAAAATTAGGTTTTTGTTATTTAGTTAATTTTTTTATTGTAGTTATCACTTATCAGATGTTTGAGTTGAAAATGATTTAGAAGTACTACAAAATATTGAATTAGACCAACTTGCGGAGTGTAAATTAAATTTCATTTGAAAATTGAGCCAAAAAAGTTGTTGATGCATATTTTTTTTTACTTTTCCATTATGAAGTCTTCAGAGGAAAGAAAACTACTGAAAAAAATTAGAGAAATCAGAAGACTGTTAATATACGGCACACCAGGTACACCTACTTAACTAAATCAATTAGCATTATTATTATATTTTAATACTCATTTAAAACTTAATTTTCGATGTCTTACAACTTTTCTTTTTAATATTTATCAAATAAAATTGTCAATTTTAAACCGATACTGTCCAAGTTACATACAATATTCACAACATATAAGTAGGTATTATCATTCAAACTTAAATTAAAAATATTATTAGAAACGACTGCCAGTAAGACAAATATTAGACAGCATACAATATTAATTTAAAAGTCCGTCAGAAACACAGAATAGGTATGCTGTTAATTTTCCATTATAATATACCAGGTAATAGTTATTACACTACCAAGCTATCCGGGACTACCCTTGACCAAATCTTTTTTTTTTTATTAAAAAAATGTATAATACACCGCATCCTATTAACTATAATGGTAATTATATAATATGTGACCGATGTCAACCATTTAAATATACAAAATTAAAATTAAAAATAGAGTTTCTGATCTGGTCAGTTTCCCGTCATGCGTGTCACTCTTAGGATGTTTCAGTACCTATATTTCTTAGCTAACAGACAACAGTTGCATCTGATTGATCAGCTACCAATGTTTGATTTTTCGGGTGGTATTTAAAATAATTTTCAGTACTCAATGATTGTTGGCAAACGAAGAGTCCAATGAGTCCTTAAGTTGTGTGTAAAAAATATATTATAAATGCCATATTTTTACTAATTATTATAGCAATATATTATGTGACCAATGACAACCCTATAAATAAACAAAAAATATTCTTTTTAGTGGGTTGAAAAAAGTGTATGTCTGACATACCAAAAGGGATATGAAAAATAAGCTTTAAACGCGCTCTAAGTCTCAAACAGTCTATTGATATAACTTTTATTAAAAATGGATATTTAAATTCTCATTGTTTTCCATGTGATCAGGGGAAAAAAATTTAAAAAAAAAAAAAAATAGTAATTTTTACTTTTAATATTATGATCTGTAACCAATGGCAACTATTTATAAAGAAAAAAATTTCCAATCGTAAATCTCAAAATTTTTGTATGAACAACTTTTTAAAATACGAATTTTGGAAAATTCTTTAATGATGCACGATCCTATGGTAGTACGCTAAGGTACTGTCAAAATATCAAAAATCCTTAGATATCATAGTTTGAGGTTTACGTTTATCAGTCAGTCAGGACTATATATAGCTATCTAAAACCCGAGCTTTGAATATTACCGTATAATTATAATTAATGATAATTGGAATCGATCGATAGCAGTCATGCGACCACCTATCATGTTACAATATACACCCTCCGATATTGGTTTATCGTATTGCATTCAGTTCGATGTTAATCGGCCATAAGTACATAACGGACCGAAGGCATAAAGTTACAACATTTTTAGTAAGTCTTTATAAAAAAAGTCGCTGCAGTCGTACGTGATAAAAAATAGTAATCGCACTACACTGACGGTGCATTATAAGTGCATACATTGTGAACACCTCTAGTGCACTCCAATTATTCGTGTGGTGGATATATGATGTAATTATATGACACCATACACGTGATATTATGGAGGTGTTTTTTCCCCCGATGTGGTTCACCGCCTAGGTACTTCAGATTATTTAAAATACTCGTGTAAAAGAAACTCGAGTGAAACTATTTAATTTTTTTTCAACCGAGAACGAATGTGCTTCAGTTGTTAGACCGTAGGAAACTTGTGGAAATTAATTGCTTTGATTATTTTACCTCCTCACACTATGTTAACCATCGAAATAGTAGAGAAACAATAAAATTACCTATATGACAATTATAATTATTTCAGTTTTTGATTAATAGCAGTTGGAGCCCGGAAACCTGAAGTTCGAACTACAAATCCTACTGTATTGTTTATGCGATTCCTAATTATTTCAAATTATTATACTATTATCAATGATATAGAATTTTAGAAAGCCGGGCAAATAAACGAATAACAAATTACCATTATTCATAAGGACCGCTAACCTTTCTATGACGTCAAATATACATACATTTATGTATACGAAGTGGCCTATCCTGTCTTTCGTTAAATTGATGTCAAACATTGAATTATTTTTTTTAATTGAGAGAGAGAAAGATTAGTATAGATATTGATGAACAACGCTTAATCAAAATAAATACTTACACCTGATTCTTAAAAATGGATTCAAATAACGAAAAAAGTTACACGAATAATATTATGAATAAGTACAAATTAATACTATATTAAATGACACGCGTACTTCAAAACGTTGAACCCCGTAAAAAAAAATATATTACAAATACTAACAATTTCAAAATAACAATGCGTTTATAGATGAGTCGCGAACACTAAATATTCACTAAAACATCACGATTTATAACAAACATAACAAAAACGTAGTTTTCACATTAAATTATATTATACGTCACAGAAGTAACTATAAAATCAAAAATACAATTTATGAATATTATAAATAAACATATCTAAATATGAAACATACATTTTTAGTGGCGAATGTTTTTATTTAAAATAAATCGTCTTAAAATTGACCAGAAAAATATAAGTCTATACGTAGTTTATAACTCAAGAAATTAATCTGACTAGACAAAGTAGATTCACTTCGCAATATTTAGAAAGAATATAAGGTAATATGGAAATTTGACATTTTAATATTAAAACAAAACAAATACAAAATATAATGGACGTGTCTTATGGCGATGCCGTTTTAGCGATGCCTTGTGGCTGATAGTCTTTTTTGACAATATTAATATAATATTCCGTATAAAACCGTACATACCTAACCGACTATAAAATATATATTACCAAATCGTGTTTTCTCTTGTTAACTATCATCGGTTCATAGTTATGTACATTGTGAGAGTATATACTATTTAAAACCCTATCGCCGAATCGGCTACGCCAAAATGTCATTGTCATTGTTTGTTAATACAGAATATTTTGCATTGAATGAATCCACATCAAAAATGTAATTACAAACTTACATTTAAAACAAAAAAAAACAAACCAAAACTAATTTTGAATCACACGCATAGGATAATTATACTTACTTAAAATTATGAACTTAAAAAACTAAGCTGGACAATTAATAGTCTACGTAACACTAATATCATTATTAAACTAATAATAATATAGGTATAGTAAAAATAACAGTTGAGAGATTTTTATGACACAAAACTTCATTCAAATCAAATTAAAAATAATAACAATAATTCAAAGTGACCTCGAAGCTGAGTTTAAACGGTTGCACTAGGAAAATTTCGTGTCCACGCAGACGTCAGACTTTCTCAGTTTGGTTGTTTGCAGTAACAGTATTTGTTAAGTTGTGGCTGGGTTTTTGAAACGCACCAACTTTGGTTTCCGTATTCATTAATTCTGCTGATATGCTTTTCCTGAAACTTTGAAAAAAAAACAAAACGTACATGTTAAAAATAAAATTAATATAATATATTAAATTTGTATTCTATCTTCGTCAGCCGAATTCAAACAGGAAAAATACTTATTTACATAATGGTAGAGTAATAAATTATATATACATGAACTTGGGTCAAAACTCACGTCAACAGTGTACCGATGCGTGTTACTGTTATACTGGCACGAAAATTCGAACACGGCGTTGGCAGGCCGTCGCGAGATCACTTTTATCTGCAGATAGATGTCGGTTATTTTGGTGTTGGCCGACATATCGGGTACAAATCCGTCGGTGTCGGCGGCCTGGTGGAATTTCAACAGCCCTTCGTTGGGTGCCATCTTGTTGGCCCATTCGATCCGATCTATCACCACTGGCGCACACAGATCGGTGTACTCAGAATTAAACCTGAAAGACGTCTGAATAAAATAATTCGATACACGAAGAGCACAGCGGGACCAGGACACTTGCCCTTTTTTAGTAAAATAATACCTATGTTTGGATTAATTTGGATTAATTATAGAATTTTGAACTTAATCAACTCGTCAGAGTTCGGTTTAATTCTTTTAAGACTAGTATTGACTTCCGAGCTACAACTAAAAGTTTGGTTTGATCTTTTGAACTTCAAACAGTTCGGAATACCTCCACTTTATAACTATTGTTTTTGAATAGAAAATCGTTTCTTACAATGTTATTTATGATATTATACACACATCGACATGATACTCATACGTGATTGATGTATTTATAATTATTGTATTTGAAAGAGTATTGTGTCTAAGTTAGATTTAACTTAGTTAATATTTACATTGATAAAGGGGGCCCAAATAAGTTTGGCTTAGTTTGGTTTAGAACTAAATTTCTAGAATACAGGCCCTGGTAGCAAGATATATAACATGGAGATAAATACACCAATCGTCTCATAATATTTATTATGTTTAACTTCAGGCTGTGCGTATTTTTTCACCTGTCGAGAAACTGTGCAAAGTTTGCTGCTGCGTCGACGACCAACGAACTATCTTCGCTTATCGGCTGCCACTTCAGACAAGCGCACCAGTGAGGTTCGATATAGGCATCTCTACATGTCCTCTCCAACGGTATCTGAAAAAAAGTAGAGGGATATTGATTTTGTGAGATTATTACAAGATGAGATGGTCATTCGAAATGATAGCGTAAACGTAGACGATCATCAAAACTTAAAATCACTTGTTACATTCATGTGTATGATGATCGAAGAGATTATAATAATTATTCCACAAACAATATTTTTAAAATTCTGTGCAAAATTAAAATACAATATTAAATAGTTAATTATTTAAACGGTTTACACTAATACCTCGTTGAACAGCGATATGGAACGCTTGTTTACGTCGTCGGTTTTAGGCGCTTCTCGATGCAGGACACTCATAAGTGTTGAGTATATGTCAAATGGGGTTGTCAGACGGTTAGTGTTTTTGTCCAGGTTGGACGCCATTGTTGGATACTTCCGGTCGAACCATTTAGGTAGCACGAACGAGAAAAATGGCATCCGCTCTTCGAGTTTTCCTTGTTGTGTGTCACGCACGGAAGCGAATCTGTGGGAGGACAACAATAATAATTAGAGTTGTAATAATGTGACATAGCGGAATCCTGTAAGTCCGGTAAATTTTCTTATTGTACCTTTGACCGTGATCACTCATAAATACCAGCATGGTATTGTTCAGGTAACCAGACTTCTCAAACCATTCCAACCACTCAACCAGATCGTTTTCCGCGACTGACACCTTGCTCGCGTAATCATGGGACAATTCGCCTTGGAATGCAAACATGAACTTTGGCTTGTCTTCGTACACACGAAACATGTCTTTGATGTAGTTGAGCATTATCTGTAAACCAACTGATGTCAATTGAAAACTTAATCAAATATTAAGAGTCCACTCAAGTTTTCTACCCTTATTCAATGCTCAAGAATCAATTATGGAGGTAATCCCAATATTGAAAAACGGAATATTTTTTATAATTAAATTTATCATTCTAGTTTATAGGTAAAAGAATAATATTAATAATTATTGTAGTCTTTAACATTTATTATTTGTGAAAAAAAAAGATTAACATTGCATTATATTATTTTCATTAATTTTTAAAAGCCATTCATCATTTTTTAATTTGTCTTCTTAACGTTAATTATTGTAAATGTCAACATATACCCAAATCTGTCTGATAAATGTGTATTAAGGTAGAATCACATTATTGTCACGTGTTGTCACGTGAGCTCACATAATGATAAAAATATGCGGAGTATCGTTTATAAATATACTTTAATGTGACAGAGCCACACTGTTATCACGTCATGTTGGTCACATCGTGTCACCAATGTTTTGAGTGAAAGCACGTTTTTGTTTTCTGAACATCAGCATTTTTAGCTGTATGTCACGTCACGTTTTAATCTGATATTCTAGTTTTTTTCACCTTCGGGGTCAATTTTTTTTTGAAAAATGGAAGAAAAATTAATAGAACTGGTGCGAGAATATATGGTTTTATATAACCACGGATTTCGAGATTACCGTGACCAAAATATACGGCAAACAGCGTGGGAAGAAGTTGGAAAAGAGCTGAATATTTCAGGTAGTAAAAAATTTGTTAAGCTGTTGTACTATTATAAATATTATAATATTTTTTTAACTTGCTGACTCGTCAAACCTTGTTTCACCAGCAGTAATGAATATTTGTGCGTTAAAATATAAGTAAATATTATTATTTATGATAGAAATGAATATGAAATATTTATTTGGTTCATTTAAAATTTGTAGGTACATAAAACTTTATAATATAATTTTAAATTAAATTAAATATAATATAAAATAAAATTCATGTGGTTTTTCGAGAAAATATTGAACGTTTTTCACTGCTTTTATTATGTATGGACGAATTTTGTTTACGTTTTTATAAAACAATTTTCAATGTTCAGGATTTATTTTTGTTTTTCATTTTTCTGTTACATATAAATAAAACGAACAAGAAGTATAATTTAAATTAAACTGTAAAAAATATGACAGCACTGCAACAGTCATAATATAACATAACATATTATTATGTTGATATTGCAGGACAGTTCTTATAATAACAATGCGTTATCGTTCATTTTGTGGAAGGGAGTGCATAGTGAATATCACGCGTAATAGAAACCTATAATAAATAAAGTTTTACGAAACACAGTCGTGATTATTTAACAATTTATTACAATATATTAAATAATAAATTTTATTGTTATATTTAATAAGCAACGAATTATCTTACAAATGCCATAAAAAATTGTATGCAAAATATAATACATTTTTTAAACTTAATAATGAATATTATAATACGAAATAAAATTATGTGTTTCTTCCTTTACGAACTGTATCAAGTTGCCATGGGCTCGACTAACTTCAGAAATGAAATACTCTTTGAATTTATCTCTAACACTAAACGCCACGAGAGTACAATTTTTTCTCAAAATATCTAAATTCGCGAGAGCTGATTCGGTATTTTGTGTTGATGTGTCTTCTGGTTCAAAAGCATTGTCTGCGCACAACATATTATGCAAACAGCATGATGATAACACAATTTTGTCAACGAATTCCGGTTGTACCTCTAAGTTTTTTCTAAAACATCTCTATCACGCAGCTAGTATTCCGAAGTCATTCTCGACACTACACGTCTTACTCGAGGCAATCTATAATTGAAAATCTTACTAGGCTCATTATCTCTTAAATCATTTCGACTGTATGGGTGAGGTAAATAAGTTCTTAGTGGGAATTCCTCATCGCCAACAACTATATATGGTTGTGGTTCGCTGTTTTCAACTATAGGAATTGGTTTCGGTACATTAAACGTGTTACTGCTTAATCTCTTGCCAATTATTGATTTAGAAAAATTCCACCATCAGAATTTCGGCTATATGAACCCACACCAACCGCGATAAATTTGTAGTCAGTATCAACTAATGCTAATAATACAACTGAATGGAAGAAAATACGCCTAGTCAGTCAGAACAAGGACAAGAAAGTGGACATGACTTTCAAGCCAATCAGGTAAAAGATGATGACGTACCTACCGTGCGAGACACGTGGGTCGACGATACTGAAACAACTAAACAGCGTTCAAATGATTTGAAACTTTTACGAAACAAAAAGCAAAAACGGCTAACTGATACTCCATCTCAACAAATGGTGCAAATTTTAAAGGAAAATGCTGAATCACGTAAACGTAAGTACGAAGAAAAAAACAGTATTCGCCCGCTACAATCAAGATCAACAAGTATTTTAACAAGATTTGTTTTTTTAAGTATGGCCAAGATGACCAAACAGATGCCAAAATATGAACAAGCACAAATAAAACTTGTTTTGAGTAATCTGTGTTATCTACAGAATTAAGATTTAATCAACACACATCTGAATACAATTCTCAAAATCAAATGCAAACTCAATCATTTCATTTTAAATCTCCGTCTTCGGCTGACAGCATTCATCAGATTCCGTCAGACTATTCTAGTTCAGACAAAGAATATTCAACTGACGTTGAAGACCAACATTACTAGAAATGAAGTCTCTTTCTAATGTATAAAATAATATTATAATCTTATGTAATTTGTATGTAATTTGTGTATAGATTATTCATGAGGCGCAATAATAATGTCATAAATATTTATAAGTACACTACTAATTTGATTATTATAATAAGATATTAATTATTTCTATTTAACTATTTTCTTACCTCAAACAAACAGCTATCTTTCTTCAGAACTAACGGCTCTCCGAAATCGGTTTTTGTATATCACTTCGAATTAATTCATGTAAGTAGTCAAATTATTGTTTGCTCATTCTGAAATACATATGAAAACGTTTCGAACATTGGCGTAATTCTGGAACTAAATGGTGAAATTCGCCTAATTTTTCACGGTTTTTGTTAATTGCATGGATTCGTGTTCAACTAGACTCGTTAAAATCTTCTTGAAGAACGATTAGAGCAGCAACAGTTTCAATTTCTTCTTCCCAGTCCGACGAACTAGTAGAGTTTGTACATTCCATTTTTTAAGTATTAATTATTTATCGGTGTGATTGAAACAAACTTATCGAAAGACTGGTGACGTGACATTGTTATAGGTGTGACCGTAGTGCGTTTCTGAGCGTGATGTCACGGTTTTATTTTGTCAATGTGACAACACGTGACTTCACGTGACGTGACAATCATGTGTTTCTACCTTTACATACATTTTTTCTGGTCGCTAATGGTTAGTCTAATAATAAAAGTAATACCTAATTTTCATTATTGCTTTTATTTTTGTGATACATTATGTAGTAATTTTAGTACCTAACTTTTTCTAATTACTTATACCATAATAATTAATCATATTATGACTTATTTTAGTTTTCGATGCCACTTTTCGTTAGTTATATCATGGATAGATGTTATAAAGTATTTATGCATAACTTCAAACACATACGCATCACACTTTTATTGAGAATATAAAAACGATCTTGTCTTTTCGCTTTGTTCGTTTCGTGTATTAAATAATATACATACAATAAGAAAATAAAATGTACAGCAATTATTACCTTGTGCCTAGGTAGAGAACCGTAACAAAAAGGCTTTTGTTGTTTGAACATTGGTGACGCGTCTACGTAATATGATCGCATATAATGATCGGTCGGCTGTTGGTCAAATCCTTTTAGCCTGTAGGTAAATATGCCAACGTCCGGAACATCTTCAGCATAACCTATAAAACCACGAAAAAAATAATCAATAAACTGAAATAAAATATAGTTTCTTTCAATATTAACTCTCCGGAGAGCTTGGATTTCTGAACAATATCTTTTTACAATATCTATGTATCACAATTCATAGTACTCAGTGATTACTACTCACCATTAAAAGTGATAAAATAATAAAAACCCCTCAGGTTCGAATAAAACGAAAATTACTTTTCGGTCATCGCTACTACCAATTATTGTTAGTAATCGTGATTCAGTTAGTACAGATACGTATTATTATACATACGATAACATACAGAATGATTCTCCAAACATGCTCACCCCTTTTTTCTTCAATAAAGCAGTTATTCAAAATCTGAAGTAAATTATGGGCTTGTAAGGTATGGTCACTACTGACTATGGTGATTTAGAAATTTGAGTGATTAATATTAATCTATCAACAATAATAATTTTTAAAAAATAGCCTAAGCATATGAAATACTAGATCCAATATTACATATAATATTTTGTAAATGTATTTTTAACTACTATTATTCTTAGTACAAACATTTGATAACTGAGAACTGCTAGTAAGATTTTTAACTATAGAAACACCAAATATTTTTAAAAAAAATTATACCCTAAATAATTTTCAGTAAAAAGAGGAAGGGAGGGTCACAATTTAAAAACATAAGTTTGTATCGCCACATGACACTCCTTTTAACCCTTTAGTAATACAAAGAAATTCAAGAATTTAAAAAAAATAATCTTTTTAAAAATTCCAAAAGCAGAATTTGCATAAATGCATAATTAAAAGATAATATAGGGCTGGGCATGCTTGGTGAATCACTATGTTTATTGTTTATACGTACGTTGGTTTTTATTTTGTAGAAAATGAATGTAATATTCTCACATCTAATAATTCACTTCACTGTCAAGTGTGCAAGTGTATTCTAGATTCTATATTATATTATTTTATTTCTAGATTTTTTGTACAGAGATGAAGTATGACAAGTATTAGCTCCCTACGTCTACTGGCTGAGGGCTGATCTTTAAAGAAAATTGGTTTGCGATTGGAAACAAAAATATTACAATTTTTATGAGTTTCCATTAATATTATGTGACGCATTCATTAACTATGACTGCATAGTGCACACATCAACTGTATAAGGCCTCGGTGCCAATATGACTGGTCGGAATGCGAACTACAGACCTACTACTAACCGAACTGCAGCTCGAGATTTGGGTTAACACGAGACGTGACACGCCATCTCGACAAAATATAAAACCAAAAACGTCATCCAAATAATATTATACTTGCCAGTAACATAACCGTGTTTCTTGAACTCGTTCCATATAAACGGATAGACGTCCACGTAAGACGCTTTGTTCCCCATGCGTTTCCTAGTGTCCGGAAGCTCCAGTTCAGTGCGTCCTGTAACGATAAGAACGCGACGACGGTAAGAAATGTTAAGCACACAATATAAATAATATAATTATTATAGACTTTAACTATTGGATCATAATAATATTTTTTTAATTCAAATATTATGATTCTAATTAGGCCACAAATATCGAATATATAATATGAATGATGATGATGATGATGATAGTAGTGATAGTAGTAATAATAATAATAATAATGATCAATAAAAATCATTGCCTGTCAAAATGGGTATCAATGCCTGCGGAGTCCCGTCGCCGACAATGTTATAGCCATTAAGCACGCGTGCTCCCATAGACTTCAGCTTGGAATACACCTTGGGCAATACTCTCTGCACCATCATGTTTGACATAGAGTCCAATCCGATCATTAGAACGTTGAGGCCCAATCCATCTTTGGGCACTTGGTCCCATCCGGCTCGATTTATCACATCCTCGTCGAATCGTATGCCGGCCATGCGGCTCTCCCAACTAAATTGCAAAAAAAAAAACCAAAACAAATTAATATCAGTTAACGGCTTTTATCATACACCACTGATAATTTCAAAAAATATTATTGTTTTTGAATTAAACATTTTTACACGGTTTCTAGTCGAAAAACAACATTTTTAAAACATATATATATATACTTATATTTTTTATCTTTATTACTTTTAAAGTTTTTACTTTTTTGAATGACCACATACAGTTTTAATTTTATATTCCTAAGCAAAAAATCTTCCTAAGTATTTCGATGCAAAAAAATCAATTTACTGAGATTAGTTGATGAGTTATAAGCATATTTTAAAGTATAGATGAGCGTACAGTGAACCAAAATTTGTTAGGGTAACCTAATACCACTCCACTTGGCTCATTTAAACTTTAAATATAATAACTCATAAACTACTCCCCATAAATTAAATTATCAAGTATCAAAATGCTCAGAAAAATATTTTGCTTTCAAATATTAAATAAAAATATATGTCGACGTTCAAAAAAGTAAAAATTATAAGGATAAAAAATATTTTAAATATGATTTTTTTTAAACACGTTTTCTCGTAACAACTTGAGACCATGTAAAAATGAAAACGAATTCCTTTTTTGAAATAATGAGTGGTTCATGATGAAAGAATCATATCCTGTATAAGCTACACAATGTAGTGATCGAGTAAACAAAAACAATAATAAAAAACATAAGTGTCGTACACATAATATAGAAATAAACCCATAATCTAGTGTCCAAATATTATTTTCAATGATTGTTTGACGATTTTTAAAGTAAAAAATAATAGTTGTAATACTGCATAATATTATTATTATATGAGCTTCTGTCCCATTAACAGATAAATAATAATTACGTATTGACCAATCTATATAGGTAGTGGTTTTACTTATATACCATGACTGTTCGTTGTATTTTATTTTTTGGATAGCGACCAACATCGAACGAGTCGATAATAAAAACCTACTAATAACACATACGTCTTATAGTTTGTATATTTTCGACTTATTATAGTACAGCATCATCGGAACATGTGGTGTTTTGACGTTAAATGGTTATAGGTATATTTAAAAACTAAATGCATCCATCTCACCTAAATTGGCCGTTTTCCGACTCGCAGTAAACTCTGAAAAAATCCGACGTCTCCAAATTGTATTCTGTGTGAGTCGTGGTCACGACGCCCAGCGATGTGGAAAATTCGTTGGCCCTCAAAACGTCTGAAAAACGTACGAACGCGAGAGTGAAATGAAAACTAGTGTGCGAAAAATCTTGTCGTAATATTTATTTTACCCATAAATTTGCACTGGATGTCTCCATACTTCTTGAGTGCCTTGTCGGTGATACGCGCGATGTTTCCCTTGATAGTAACCCAATCCTCCTCCGGGTCGCAGGCCAAAGGCGGCTCCCTTTTGACGAATTTCATCATGGTCGGGTCGAACGGGTCCAAAATAGGATGCGGACATGCTATATAGTTTTCTGTTTTCGAACTTCAGTGGAAATAAACAACAAACATAAGTACAACACGTTAATAATATTTTCATATCACAATAAATCACAATGATTTATAATATTTGTTTATAATATTATTATGTTTATTACTTTTAAAATAGGTACAGATTGATGATTACTTTTAACAGTCACTACACATGTAAAATAGTAGATAGAATATACAATAGGTGTATAGTCATTTTTACTTAGTTCACCTATTTATTAAATATAAATGCTTATTTCATTTTAAAAACATTATATTTTCAAAATTTTCGTCAGCCATATTGACTCGTAATATTTCGGAACAAATCCAAACGATAAAAAGTATTTAAAGTACCATCGAAAATACTTCAAGCTGAAGCTTGAAAGTATTTTTAAAAGTATTTGAATACTTTTACTCAAATATTAAAAATAACACTGTATATACCGTGTCATAATAAACCACTTCATAATATTATTATGTTTATTATATTTTAATATGCCTACTAGGTAGGTACAGAGTGATACGCCGATACCTTTGACGAGCATTACATAATATATAATATAATAGTGAATACATCAAAAAAACGGTTTTTTTTATTCGCTTGAAGTTAAGTGGCGTCCATCATACTATAATATAATCACTATCTCATTTGCTTTTAGTTTTACATAAATAATTTTTAAATTTTTACAAACAAGACAATTTTTTTCGTGATAGGTTATAATGCAAGTAATGAAAATATAGTCCAAAATCCAAATTGTTAATTATTTGGGTATTTAGATTAGGTTGATATTTAAAATATAAGCATTTTAAGTTTAGATGGTTTGAGCAATTTACGAATTCACAGACACGACCTTCACTACTCCTATCTAAACTTGCAATCTAATACAATATTATGTTGCGTGACAAACATTGTTTTTTATTTAAAAATCACTGAAATCGACTGAGAAAATACGAGTAGTGTATTAAATGGATCAATTTTTTCATAAAAATATAACAATTTAATAGCGAATATCAGATAACTATACGTATATTTTTTTAAACGATGTTTGGAAAACGAAATTATGTTGACTTAAACGAGTGCGTGCGATTAAGCTACTGGCATACGGTTTAAAAATATAGTCAATATATATTCCAAAAAACAGCAGCTTACAACATTCCTTCTTAAAGCACACCATTGAGGTAGGCGCAATAGTATGATAAATAATAACTATTCATTAATAATATGAAATAAAAGCAATTTCAAACGTAATTTCATGTTTGTCATGTAATTTGAATATTTAAAATCTATTCTAAGAAAATTTAAATTGAATAATACATGAAATATTTGGTGCTTAAAGTATTATTAAATCATGTAACCCAAAACATCAATAAAACACATATTATAAAGAATAACATCTAAAATACATATTAAATTTCACATACCTAAAAGTTGAAAATCAATAGAATTGAATTTCAATATCGTTTTTAGAAGTAATCCCACACACATTTAACTCTACAGAATACTTAAGTATCCACAATCAATCTCTAACAGTACATCAATAATAATTTTGGAAAAATATTAATGAACAAAGATGTGTAGTCAGATTTGAAAATAACGGTGTTAAATAAAATACTTTACAGAACCATCGAAGCTATAAGGATGTGATTGAAAATCAATCGATCGACTAGGGAAACTCGAAATATAAACAAACTTTTTTTTTTTAAATTTCATTCCATTTGTCGTCAACAATGACAGAAATAACAAAGTTTATATAAAGTCACTAAACGATGTTAAAACCATTTAGTCGCAAAAACTCAAATTGGTTGGCAGTGTGCTATCATGGTAGGTAGGTTACCTACTTTATGCAAAGTACAATTTTTATCGGCCCAACTCTTAATCTTAATAGTCCGATCTCACGAACGAGTTTTACTTAAATGCCGATGTACCTATACTTATACTACTTAGTCATTACTTACCACGAAAAAGCACGTGCCTACCCATTTATACTGGCCCTACACACGCCACTTATGTTTCCGTTAAACTCTATTTTATTACGACAGTACTGTAATTATTAGTCCACACACACACACACACACATACACCAGTATGGATGATAGTTCGGAATATGATCATACGCATGCCCGTACATTAGTGTGTTAGTATGTTTGATTAGTACCTAGGTAGCTGCACACAAGGGCACCCCCACAGGGGGTTGTGTGACGCGTGCCAACCACTATTTTAGTTAACATTTATTGTTTTATCACTTAGTCACTAACATTATCACTAACCTAACCTTCCCTCCGTGGCTTAAATTTCTACTACTTGCGCGTCTACCAAAACACGTTTATTTTTACTTTAAACTCGTAGGAAATTCACCAGGTAATTTGCATTCCATTTCGGGGACGCAAGTCAGCCATATCAATATTATCGGTGTTATCCTATCACTGAAATCGATATTCAATACAAATTGATAATAATAATTAATCGTTCATTGTTAAATGATAATGTAGGTTTTTAATTTATTATTTGATAATTTAATATTTAGGTACATTTATTAACTATAACATTATCAAAAAAGAAATAATCATATTTAATATTTTAATATACTTATCGCATATTCATATATAAACGGAGTGCACTAAAATAATCAATTTTTTAGTATAGATTTTCGGGACACAACTGAGTTATATAAAAAATATATATGTACCTAATGAAAGCAAGTAGGCTGTGACCTGTTTTAACTTCTTTTATCTAGACGCAGCTATAGACCTATTAAATAAGTTCTTAAACGCAAAAAGTGTTCATCGCCTTATCTAATTTATGGCATTGCCAAGGTCTCCTGTATCAATACAAACAAATAATAATTACCTCTAAATAATTTCAACTCAATAAATGATTTTCAGTCGATATAGTATAAAGTTACATATTATAAAATATTAAGATCATTGCCTCAACAAAAAGAATTAAAACTATAAAAAGTAAAAAATTATAATTGTAAACAAAATCTCAAAATCGATTTGACGGTCTATAATATTTAAAACTTGATAATAAAATATATGAGTAATATGACTATTCCTACAACTATTGTAGTAAACCATAACTATTTTTTACGTTCAGTAGGATACTCTTATGAGAATAAAACATTTGTGAAAACAATAGATAAACGATTAATGTAATTCGTAATGGATATAAAACAGACATCCCATGCGTGTGTGTAAAGTAGATCAATACAAAAATGCGGATATGTATATTGTATTTTCACTATTTTGTTAACCGATTATAGTAATTGTTTCGAAATGAAAATGTGGTGGAGAGTTGTGAACTGTTGTTTTGTTATTGGATTGTATACGTTTATACAAACAACGAATTAAATCTAAACCTCAAATTGTAAATCTTCCCAAACAAGTTATCAAAAGTATAAGGTCATAGTATATATTTATATTTATTTATAGTTATTAGGTTCTAGTAAGCTAAAATCAATTGTAATTGAACCATTTTACTTTAAAAAAAATGAATTTCTTTGATAACAATGTGCATGTTTTTATCTCAAGTATTTTTTTTTTTTTAAACCAAATCTATTGCACCTACTATGTTGTGTATGAAACTATTTATGGGTAAGTTAGGTAGATATTATATTCTATTAAAAATATTATATAACTTTTAATCATATAATTGTTTTGTTATTATAACCTCTACGCATAGCTATGCTGAATCCCTAATTTTAATTACTTATGTTTTCAAAACCCTATACAATACCTAATTAAAAGTACGCTAACGGGTAAATGAAGATACTACTATCAAAGTGACTACTCCTAGCCCCCACCAATACAAAATAATTAAAATATTTTAAATTACAATTTAAATAATCCTTATTCCTCTTTTACTTATATACCTCGTATATAAAATAAAGGGCCTTTTTTATGTTCCACGTTTCTGGTGTATTTAATTTTTTTTTCGAAGTTATTCCAAATACTCATCCCTTGCAGCACTTTCTTTAACTTTGTACCAGTGGAGGGAGAGGCACACATTGAATTTCGTTTTTCCACTTTACAGACAAGACTTCGCAAAACTTTTAAATAATTACACGATTTTTTTCACATAGTTGTTAAAAACCTATCCTCCAAAATGTCAAATCATTACTATATAGTCCTATTTTTTGGATAGAAAAGAGGCGCAGATGGCACACATTGTGCATTGGAATATATAACATAGTAATTCTTGTTATTCACTTTGTGATTTCATTGGATCATGTTATTGATTATGATTTCATAATATTGTTAACATTTAAATATTATTATACTTGAGTCCTCCGAGGATACATAAATAAATGCAAGTGTTTATTTTTTGTCTATGAACGAAACGAGGTTATTCATTTAGTAGCATACACTATATGAACATATATATTATGATAAATTTTAACACTTTATATCTATTTTAGCTCATATTTGTGTAACAATGATTTTAATTTCATACAATCGAATTGTTATTTTGCCAACTCGTACCGTAGGTAGTTGAACTACCGATTACACAACCTAAAATAAAATGTTGTTAAGATGTGGACATGAGGCTGTATGTAGTACAATCAATCAACTGCACCCATATTTTTGTATTTATAAAAAAATGATTTATCAGTGTATTCCTAAGTATTCCTAATTTCCCGACGAATGACGATAGACAGCTTATAATTCCCAACATTGTCTTTTTGATTGTTTAAAATAATCAGTGGTTTGTAACAATATTTTTACAATTCATACACTACTATTGGTAAAACAAAGTTCACCCAAAAATGTTCAAAACTCTGTCAATGTTGCTTGCTTTCATTTCTTTAAAATGTGTTTTACAAGATGCACTCGACAATATTAGTATCACTGATAAGTTAATGAAATAAAACCTTTCAGTTCATATTACGTTAAATTTTCAAACTAGATCCAAATCTAGGTATACAGTAAAAACGTTTTTATCTCGCAAAAACCATCATTGTATGGCTTCCACGCTTTGCCAAAAATCAAAACATATGTATGAACTAATGCTTTAAA